GCGGCAGTCTTGCGCCTCATGAAGGACATGTATTTGAATGTGAGAGACATCATCTGTGGTCAGTCGGCGATTTTAGATACATTATATCAACTGAGTAGTTTACTAACTTGATATCCTTAGACCAAGGGCCTGAAATTGATCGAGTTACATCAATGGAGATTAAATACGCTCAAGTGCTTAGCGAAATGAGGAGCATGTTTTCACAAGTTGAACATTACTTTCAGGAACTTCTCTTGGATGAAAAGGATACTGTCATGTATGAAGCGGGTCATATCTGAGTTTTGTATTGACAGAGCTTTGTGTTGTTATGTGATTTTCTGGGTCTGTTTGGAATTAAGGTTGTCCGGAGTTCCCTACTGTGCATCTAGCCCTCTGGATGACTTTTGTTTCCACCTTTGTTTTCAATTCTTTCCTCACCTTTTACATAAATCTGGCCTTTTAATTTCGTGGCACGCTTTTTGCTCATGCCATCAAAACTTAGCATTTGCTTACAGAAACAGCTGAAGGTATTTTTGAGCATCAATTTTGATCTCCTGCTTAAAGGTTGGGACGTTCAAAGGTTAATGTTACCTTCGAAAGTTAACATTAACTTTCGAGGTTAACATTAACTTTCGGGGTTAACATTAACTTTTGAAGTTAACAATAACTTTTGATGTTAACATTAACTTTCGAAGTTGACATTACCTTTCGAAGTTAACATTAACTTTTGAAGTTAACATTTCAAAGTTAACATGCTGAGCCTCAGACCTATCATTTGGAGCTAGTAAATGGAAACTCAAACACGGGCAAATTTTGATTTGAAATTCAAAGACATTAAATTCCAGAAGCCCTATCAACGCTTGCTCACTTTTTACTTTATTGTCAAAATTTTGTATGCAACACAAAATTTTGTATGCAACGTTTTTTTTATGGATCACAAGAGAAAATGCGAACCTCATTCGCAAATTAGACTGCATCGGATATGGTGGGATTGGGTCGAAAGATGATCACCGATTTTGTATCGGGCGCGAGATTGCATCGGGGATGCGGGGTAGATGCGGCCTCGGTTGAGGGCTACGCGATGGGATGATTCTATCGCATTCGGGTTTGAGTCGGAAACGTACTTTGCGTGTTTGCATCGGGCTGAGGCTCAGTCGGATGCCACGTACCCGGTTTGAAATCGGAGCTGTCTTCGATTGGATCAGCCCGCCCGTTTTTGAAACGGACTGAACAATCAGTCGCGTGATGCGTGCTCGATTGCAGATCGGAAGTCTGTCTAATCGCATGACTTGGGCGCGATTCTGCATCGGGGCGCCCTTCCCAAAATGACAACAGGAAGGGCTTTCCGACGTGAATTTCTTGGCGGTGAATTTCTATTCTCATCTCTAAAAAAATCAACAACAGATATGTCTATTTACCTCAAGATGATACAAGGTAAGATACACATGAATACCTCAATCATATGCAGAAGACAATTTTGAATGACACCAAGGACCAGGATTTGGATGAGGTGATGGGAAAGTTTCTTGAAATTCCAAGTCCCTTCAAACTGCAAAATAGTATAATACTTAGATTACCAATATTCCTTATTCAATCAAGCAAATATGAAAGTTAAACCTTTTAAAATAATTGCAAAAAATCACCCATATGCAGCATATAGATTACACAAATAGCATAATTACAAGAGCAAGATTGTATCTGCATGTGAGAAATTGTAAAAGTACAATTGTTTTTGAACAACTAGAGCAACGTGGGCGGCCCGCCGCCCTCACAGTATCTTTTGTACCACAACGCCTTTTGGGCATACCACCCCCCACTCACATGTAACATCGCGCTACACCCCAGAAACAGCACACAATTCCGGTTTGTGCTGTCTACAACTCCCGCCCCCCCTGCAACCAAAAACCCACAAAGCGCCATGTCTGCATTGCCACAAGAGAGACAGCATGACAACAACCCAAGAAAAGAACCAAAAGATATCGCCGTAATAGTACGACTCATTCCACATATTCTCCAACACTAAATTTCAACAAACATATTATCCTCGTGACGTCCCATCCTTCTACGCCCCCCAGGCTGATCACTACATACATTATTAATCAATTCCGTGATCTCGACGCATTGCCCGATGGGCAGCATTGACCTTCACCCGCTTATTCCAACGTGCGGCTAAAATGCGCGACTTGGTGGCTTTGCGTTTATGGCTTGTATTGATCCCTGCGGCCATCTTGTCTTCCTTTTGGCATGCGACCTTCGCGACGGAAGAGTCACTGAAAAGGCAAAATGTCATTTGACCATCTCACCTCCCCGGACGACAAAAACAACGCAATATGACTCACCACGCATCCCCACTCTTTCCTTTTTCTGTGACGTTCGGGTTGGGTGTGCTATCGTTACACGGGGTTATGTTGTAAACCTGTAACTGCATATGTTAGTGCGGTAGCCGCCACCAAACTGTGCAAAATTGCTTACCCGGGTTTCCCAAGCCCACTCTTTATCATCGTACCCTTCAATCAACCCCGCGATCTGGACCTCAGCTCCCTCCTTACAAAATGAATGAAACTTATCTGATTGATGACACCGTTCAACGATATGCTTCGTCATCCAGCACACTGGGCTCTGGTCCTAAGCAATCAGCGGAAAAGAAACTCAGCAAATGAACGCCTCAGTTCCATCCATCCATCAGTCAACTCACTATTGGATCAAAATCGACGGATGTCAAAGTCAACACTATTTTGCCACCACGCTTCCCGTCACCCTTTGGAACCGTCTCCATCTTCACTACAATCCCCAAAGCCACCATCGAGACCTTGTTCATGACATCTTTCTCGTACTCGACACCAATAGAATCATTCTTCCCAATCCTCAATATTGTAGTCGTTCCGCAATAGAGATCATCAAGCCTGCGGTTGTTCGAACTGATCAACTTACAACTGATGGCGTACACATCGCCCTGGTGAAGTTTATCGATGGCACCCTTGGGCGCAGTCAAGAGGATGGCGGTATTGTACGGGGAGGTTCGATCAAAGCCAGATGTCGAAATCGTAGTCTCATGGGAAACAAAACCAAGCGCATTTCGACGTGCGTTAGGGACCTAAACAAACACAGGCAAGGTATCAATGATTTGAAATACTGATAGCATAATCTCCCCCAGAATCAGTCACCTCAGTGCCAAGACGACCGATAAATTGTACTACAATAGGATGCACAACAGTTGATTCTCTGGTGGTGGAGGTGATAGTCGAAGTAGCGGACATGACGTTCGGTTGGTCAAAAGAAGTTGAATTTGGAAAGGCATATCAATCAGATGGATATAACAGTATTGATATGATGCACCGTGAGTATTGTAGACTGCTGAAAACCTCATCCAACCGCTTCCCATTTATATTCCATCTCGTCCAGACACTGCTGACAGTTTTCTCACTTTAGAAGATCGCCCTCACAGCTGAAGCTCCAGCAAAAAACCTGCCAGGGTCCTTTTTTGCTCAATTCGAAGCAGGTGTCCGAACTAATTTCGCCCCAAGGTACGATGAAATAACATCCAGCGACCCCCAATCACGACAATCGGCACGCATCGTGCTCAACACCTGCCATTCCTCAAGACAACCTTTTGAGATTTCAACCCCATAACCCCACTGAGCAATCCCACAACGATTCGTCAATCATCTGGCATTCTTCCCGATCAAGTCCAGCCTCACCCTCTGTGTGATCACATTCCTCACGTCGTATGTGATCCCCCTCCAAACGTACGCCTTACCCGGCTGTGTTGCACCTCGTTTTTCCGCCTATAATCACACGAACACATTGTTACACCTGTTCTACTCACCGGCCAACCCACAACGTATTCAGTAGCATATTCTCTTCCTACACGCCATCATACCAATGTTCCAACATTCCTCACGGTTAGCGCAGCCTCGTGATGATAGTGTCCCGTTTTTTTGACCATAGCTTATCCAGTCAATCTTTGTCTTGCCACCTGTTGATCATTTTTGGCTGATCCACCCCCTCTTCCCCGTCCCAGGCTCCAGCGAACAAACATGACGTGACACCTGGCTCACGTACCGTTGCAACACTTTCAGCAGCATAACATCTGCCCACACGTCATCATTCGAACGCTCTGACATCCCTCATAGTTAGTGCAGCTGATGGCTTTCGGCGTCAGGACCATTGCTTCTCCAGTAAATCATTACCTCGCCCCCTTGCGACACCATTCCTCAAATCCAGACTGTGCCAAGCCGTCCTCAAGATTCCCAGCCAAGATCGTGAAAGATGGTATTTTTGCAGAAGTATCAATCAATGTTCGACTATATATACAATGAATCATAACCCCCAGACCTTTGTCATTCACACCCACATCATAGATAGCCTGCTACAATGCGTCACCCAGCCATTCTGACTGCCACACTCCCAGTTACTACAGACGTACGGTGTGCGACTCAATATCTTCACTGTGATCACAACTGATGTACATTTTCCTCTCTTCTACTCAGCCTACTCCCCTCAGTGCCAGTTACTTTGCGTGGTATCAAAGTACTGGGTCGTTAGTGTTGAATGAACTCGATGGCAGCATCATTGTCCACCCAGTCACCGTCCTTGGACATGTCACGGCGCATGACCTATTGAAATGTTCCCACACTTACAACATCACCGGTCCGTTGGGCATCAATACCGCTACCGGCGCAGTCACCATTGAACACAATTTCGGCTCTTACGTTGACGTCGGAGAATTCCAACACACATATCGCCGTCTTGCCGGTCGCGCCAACATCTGCAGCATCGGCAGGATTGTTTCTGTCCTTTTCAGAGAAACCAATGTTGATATCTTTCCATGGGACTTGAAACTTGTGGCTACGCATGATTATCTCCACCCTCTAGTAAGTGACATCCTGCTTCATTAGCTTTCACTCACTGATGTCGCTCCAGACTCGACAGAGACTCGTGTTTTCAGTCATATACGAATTCCGCCATCACACCCCTCCCCCCTGTGAGTGGCCAAATTTATCGATTGGAGCCACTGTATGGCTACACGGTCACTTGATGAGAAAGGATACCGCAAGTGGCAATCTTGTTGTGCATGTGAGTACAGAACTTTCACCCATTGCATGTCCGACATAATTGTAACTAACCTGAACAACATTGTCATTAGGTATAGCACCACGGGTTGTATGGTATATAAGGATATGAGAACGGTGGTGGTTTTCACACTGCCTGACGTCATGTCACGCTTTCAACCTCACCGGGCCACAAAGGCCCATCATCCACAAACAATATTGCTATAACCTACATGAGTCGCTGTGTTCTTTTGTTCTTGCGTCTTAGGCATGTCATTGTCTCATCCAAGTAATGCTCCTGCCATGCAATTGAAGTCAAAGCATCCGATTAATAGCCACACCACACCATAAACTATGGAATGAATGATTTCCATCGCACTACTGACCAATGCCAGCTAAGCAGCATGGGACTGAGATCGCACATTATCGTAAGACAAAAATCAAATGCGGCCATTTTGGGGTGCAAAAGCGAACATGCACACGGCGAAAATAGCACGGCATCGCACTTTGGTGCTCATTTGTTGTCATAGCAAGACTTTCTACCCGTCATTGACCAAAAGCCCCTCCTCAGCATAACTATGAACAACACAAAGAGCTCCAGACAGGAGAATACACCTAAACACCACGTCAACCAGACGCCCTACCCCATATCCCCCGCAAACAAAACCTCCACCGGCCTCCCTCTCTCCACCAACACATCCTCAGTAGTCTCCTACGGACACTAATAAGACATCCGAAACCTAAAATCATTGTCAGAATGTATCATCGTGGAGAGTGAGAACCACCAATCACCTCAATGTACCAAGCCTCCAACGGTTCATTAAAGTCAACAATGTTGCCACTAAAATCAACAACGTTGCCCAGCCGCAGCACATCCTCATCAAAATGTGGCATAGTAGCCTCACAACACGCATAGAGGCCGAGGAACCGCACCCACCGACCGGTCTGCAGCGGTCGGAGTCAGTACTGTATCGTAACAAAAGGCATGAAGGTGATAAAGCACGCACTCCAGAATCCCAGTCTTTGTGTTCCACAAACAACAACACATCCTGGAATGACCTCCGCACCACTCGCTCCACAATCCTACCGCGACCGGTGATCACCATCCTGTTTGGCACTGCCCAATCCCCCACATCCAAGACAGCCACCTCCATCACGGTCTCGTAATCCGGACTCAGTATGATCTCGTGCGCTGACCGTGTCAAAATGCCACCCGAAACAACGTAAGTGCGATTATGAGACAGCCGCGGCTCAAAGGCATTCTTGACTACCATGACACCTTTCGACGCGTAAGTTTCATTCATTATTAGCGTCGCCCTGTGATACCCGTCCGACACCTCGTTATCTGTCTATTACAAAAGAATCACACTGTCAGAGAGAAACCGCCTTGCAGCCGTGGAGCCCCCTTACAATTCCGTTCATTCGTAAGATGCCATGCTGACGCATTGGTAAGCGTTGCGCGTCCTCGTTTTCCATGAGATTGAATATGGTGAGGAAACGGGCTGGATTGCGAAACAATTGGGTCGAAGAGATCAGGTACGTATGTGCGGATGTTGAAGTCAAAGATTGTCCCTTACAAAAGTCAAACGAAGCCGTGTAAACTTGAGAGAAGCTGGGATCATATGGTCCAATACTCTTACCCTACTCCCAATCCCGACCGCATTCTGCAACGTAACACAGGGTTTCCCCTTACCAAGGTAATGTGTCATCATAGCCACCCTGCATCGATGGGACCAATGATGTGAACCCCGTCTGCAATTTGGACCCTGACGTCCACCAATCACAAATCCTCTCAATGTATCAACAACACCACCGCAGCCATGTACGGCATTGTGACAGGGACTCTTGTCCACACCATTGACCAATTACTTTTTTGACAGTTGCAATACATATATATGCAAGTTACTGTTACCTGGGATCACCATCAACCACTTGCTCAATTACTACAGCACCTCATCCACTGAATCTGCATAGGCGATCAAAGCATCATCACTCAATCCTGGACCCAACAATGGATCACATCAACAATCAAGTCGTTGTGAGTATAGTTTTTCACGCAAAAAACTTTCTTTATCGCTAACACTTTTGTTTACCTACAGAATCCGCCACTGCCAAACGGCAGCGTATGCTCCATCATTATCATGGGCACACATGTCTGCGAATCACCATCCCCCAACGCCACCCAACAAAACCACCATTGCAGTCGCCACAACTTGTATATTGTCACCTACAAATTTCAAAACTGCGGCCTTCCCCACATGATCCTCGTTCCATTTCAAGCGTTCCACACCTTGCACCATCACTAAACCTTCAAAATGTCACCCCCCACAAATTTCAACAACTTATAAAAAAGTCTGTGTACAATTGTAGACCATCAATAGGCGATCTGCGTAAAAGGCTTTCATATGTGGACTTACCGTACTCTACTGTTGATGACACTCATGAGTTTTTACTGTCGATGTTCCAGGAAATTTGCACGATAGATCAATTGCAAAGCAATATCAAAATAAGCTGACATATGAATGAAACATAGAGTTGTGCAAACAATGCCAGTGACTGACTACAACACCGTCTTTACTGCAAACACAAAACACCCAGACCGATACCCCCCTGCCATGTCCCCAATACCATCGCCCCGTCATGACCAGCAGCGTGCCACACCGCTCATCGCTGAAACCACCAAAAGTCGCAGAACCCCTCTCAAAGCTACACACACATCTGACCAATCCATCTTGTGCCCGTGAGTAGTTGGTCGCCGCTTTGACAACATAAAAAACAACATATAATGGAGGGAAAATCAGTCGTCGCCCCACCGTGAATGTATTCAAAGTTGAAACTTACCAATTGAATGAATTGCAGCGCCTCAGTACAGAATTTCCTTGAAAACGATGTTTTGTGTTGTGTTCGAAGCCTCAGCTTTTGACATGCAAACACCAACCTTGTCCATAGTTGTGCATCGGGATAGGGCTACATACAACTGCCCGTGTGAAAATACAGGACTCGGCAGAAATACCAACACATCGTCAAGACTTTGCCCCTGCGACTTGTTTACCGTCATGCAAAAGGCGGGGGCGACCGGAAATTGAAACCTGTAGAATGGTAAGGGACAGTGGGCGTTGCCAGGATGGTGCAAGTTGATACACGGTATTGTAATGTCATTCCCTTTTCGTGGACCATTAATAATCTTGCACGTCAACACATGATTCCCAACATGAGTAACCAACAGTCGTGTGCCATTACATAAGCCTTGCTTCAAGTTCAGGTTCCGTAACAGAATCACGGGCATGCCTCTCTTCAATTTCAGGTCGTGAACAGGAAAATTTGGCACATTCAAAGTGTTGAGGACCTCCGGTGCCAGTGGTTCACATGTCGTGGAGGCGTCATTTTCGTCAATGGATGAAGAGTTGAATAATTCACCATCAATCACACTCAGCAGAGCATCATTAATTGCTGCTACCGTCCTGTTGAGTGGAGTGATAATTCCGCGCGATTCGTAGTATGCCGCCAACGTTGACCACGCACCCTTTTGTACCATTTTGTTACATTTTTTGTACCTGTTCTTCGCTGCAGTACTATCGAACACCAATCTTGAAGGAATGCAATGAACTTTCAACTCCCCTAAGTCGACACTTGCTTCGGTTTCCGTCTGTAAATCCCCTGAACCGAGTTTTAACAGCCATTCAGCGTACAGTATATTGCGAGCTCTCACCGCTCTTGAATGACGCCCACCCAGTAGTCTGACATTTGTTACCAAACGGAACTGAGACACTAAAGGCCACAAATAAGATCGTTTAAATGATGCTGCTGCTTGCTGGGAGATCGACCCGCGTGGTACAACTGGTAAAGTCTGCCGGAAGTCCCCTGAAAAAAGCATCCTAACGCCACCAAAAGGTAAGTCTACATTCCGTAATTCGCGTAAGGAGCGGTCCACACAATGAATATCTCTTTTATTCTGCATTGATATCTTGTCCCAGATTATGACTTCGCAGCTACTGAGCATGCGTCCAATTTTATCATTGCTAGAAAAGGTACACATTGACTCATCATCGGGATTTAACGGAATCTTGAGTCCAGTGTGGGCAGTGGTCCCTTGGTAAAGTAGTAAAGCCGCAATTCCTGACGACGCGACAGCCACCGCTGAATGACCAGTAGCATTGCAGTAGTGTAGAATTGCATTGAGTACAAAGTTTTTCCCCGTTCCACCGGGACCGTCAAGGTAAAATAATCGGCTCTCATACTGGGTGACGGCATCCTTGAAAGCACAAAAGATTGCTTGTTGTTCAGCGTTCATCTTGTCCACAGCCGCCTCAAGATAACAGTAACTTGCTTCCGGAGTAAAAGCATCATCGTCGGCACCACCTAACAGCCTACCGTAACCGTAACCCGCTAGCAATGCCAAGTCAGGCTTTGGCGCCAATATGAAAGTCAGATCAAGGCCTACTTCTTTCAACACCATTTCTAACCGGCATAACCCCAACGCCGTGATCATTTCGGTTGTTGGTTCAACTTTGTTGTTTATCCGCTTCATTGAGTGTTTGCAGTCATCGAACAATTCTCCCGCGAACATGGTGTAAAGTTGATGTGGATTACTTGGCGGTCCGTATTTCAGGATTATGCAAAACATATTCCTTAGTTGTGATCCTCCCTGAACCAACGCACACTCTTTCATCGCAGCAATGTAGTGATCATCACTTAATAATAGCCCAAGAGCCATAGCCGCGGCGTTGAAAGTTGGGTGAATAATATTGTTGACGGTTCGTAAGTTTTCAAAGGAGGTCGGCCCACGGACATGAAACAACAGCAGG